GCAAGAGCTGAGAAAATCCCTTCAGATCTGAGGACTGGCAGGGGGCACAATAGGGGAGTAAGCATCTAGTTTTGTTTCTTCTTTCTTTCTTTCTTTTTTTTTGGGGGTGGGAAGGGGAGGGAGCTTTGGAGTCATTGGAACGAATGGAGGCAAAAGCAGCTTCCTTCGTGTGCTGATTTTGAGCTTTTTCTTTTTGTGACCTTGAAGGTAGTCGGGGTGCAAAGGTGCAGGAAGGGAAGAGAGGCCGCTCGCTGGTGAGTGAGACCGTTGCCCTGTTGTGTCTGTGAACACGGGGCTGCTCACACAGCCGAGACTATTCCTGTCTGAAACCTGAATTAATTATTCTACTTGAATTGGACTGATCTGTGGGATTAGTTGAACGTGAGATTTGAAGTTGCCTCTGACCTTTTACGTAATCATGTTCTTTAAAGAAAACCTATTTTGTAGCACTGCATGTAGAAAAATAACGTTAAGGCTTTACTTTCCGTAAAGCGCACTTCCTTCACCGTAATTTTATTTAATGACTGCCATGTTTCTAATTTCTTGGATGTATTAATGGTGGTGGCTCCAACCAACAGCATCTTGGGACATTAAATGCTGCTGCTCCTGCCCCGTGGTCCCTGCAGTGCCTTGAAGCGCCTCTGTCCCGGGGCGGCGGCGGGTGCGGAGGGCCTGGGCGCCCAGCAGCCAGAGCAGGGCTGGGGAGCAGTGCCCGCAGCACTGCCCCCTTTGCAGGGATCCCCCTGGCACAGGGGTGACCAGGCTCCCCCCGTGCCCCTCGCACCGCTCCAGCTCGCTCTCCGGCTCTCGCCATCCTGGCTCTTTTTCACGGGTGAGATGCACGGAATTATCCAGCACAGCTGGACTTACAGGAGCCGCCTTTGCCCTGCCCGCAGCCCCTGCTCCAGCCTGGCGCTGGCTCCCCTCGCCCTCAGCCTGCCCGGCACCTTCCGTGTCCTTCCCCCATCCCACATTCCGCCTGGTTTGGAAGCCTGAAGGTGGGAGGGCAGATTCACAGATTCACAGAATATTCAAGGTTGGAAGGGACCTCTACAGATCATCTAGTCCAACCTTCCTGCTCAAGCAGGCACACCTAGAGCATGTGGCACAGGGTGGCATCCAGGCGGGTTTTGAAGACCTCCAGAGAAGGAGACTCCACAACCTCCCTGGGCAGCCTGTTCCACTGCTCTGTCACCCTAACAGTAAAGAAGTTGCTCCTCACCTGGAGACGGAACTTCTTGTACTTCAATTTTTTTTTAGAATTTCTTTGCCAAAAAGCATCTAATAATAAATAGATCTGGATACAGGTATATACTCCGTATATGGATATGAAACGCCCAAACGAGGGACAATCCCAGTCCTTCAGCACGGACAGCGCTCTCCTCCCAACAGCGGCCCTCTCTGCTCACTCACCAGTCCAGCGCGATGCTGCCCCTGGCAGCGCAGGGGCCAGGCTCCGTGTCCCCGAGGGTGGATGTTTTGGCTGTGTGACTGATGGAACGCATGAGCACCCAGCACGGAGCGGCGCTGTGGGGGTCCCGCGCGGGGCTGCCCGGCCCTGGCCGCCCCCTGCAAGCGGCAGCCCCACGGGGAGCACCGGGACCACCGGAGCCATCGGCGACCAGGGCCTTGGGTCCTGCTGCCCCGGGTGCCCTGGCCGGGGTGCCCCTGCCCGCGGTGCCCGCGCCCCCCGCACCAATAAACTAGCAGCCCCTTGCGTTCGCTCTGAACTCTTTATTGAAAAGAAGTTGCAGTTGGTACACGGACACCAAAAATACAGAGTCACGGGTTCGTCTCTCAAAAGATATTTTTATATATATACAAAAGTTGTAAACATTTTAACTTATTTCGATACACTGTCCACTTTATACTACGATGCACATCAGATTAGTGACAACTGCAACTCGTGGAAGCGGTCTGCCTATACCGAGGTATCTGCAAAAGAACTGAACTCTGCAAACCACATTTGGTATCAGTTTGATAGTAAAACTCTCGAGAATCTGAGGTTTCAATGCATATTGCAACAAAATCGAGGCAGCTGAGCTTGGGATTCAAGTGATGGAGCAAAGGCCGGTTCTAAGCCTTGGGAAGGGGAAGGATCTTCTGCCAACGCAGCTCCAAAAATGCTACCTGGAAAAGCACGGTGACCAAAGCAGCCTGCGTTTCCACCATCTGCTCTCCCCGTGATGCTTTAGCGGGGGGAAAAAGGCTGAAATGGAGTCGGCAAGTATATAAAGTAGCTGTAATGTAGAGAAATACTGAGGCCGCAAAAGCAGCGGTGAGATTCACTGGGTAACCTGGGTTCAGACACAGCAGCGTGGGAGGGGCAGCCCGAAACGCGGGGCTGGGGCTGGCAGAGCTGGGTCTGCGGGAAGGACGGCGGGAGAAGGGCGGGAGGCCCCGGAAGGGCCGGGAAGGGGGCGCAGGGCCGAGCCCTGGACGGGGCCGTCGCCGCCTCACAAAGGAGCGAACCCCAAGCGCGGTCGGTCGGCGCCGTCCCTCAAAGGAGGGAGGTTCTGCTCCGAACGCAGGCGCTCCAGGTGCGTTGGAAAAGGGGATGTGTTTTCTAAGTACCACTTAAGCGAAGCTTCCACCCCACTAATCATTTAAAGTGGAATCACTTTAAACGTTTAAACAATTCCTAACGGGCACCTTTCTTCAGCTCGAACCCGGAGCCGCCGCCGGCAGCAGCGTTCCCGTGCGGCCGGAGGCGCCAGCGCAGCAGAGGGATCCTGGTTTTCCTCTCTTTACACCCAAACTCAGTGCCAACACGGCGCAGGAGCTTCCGGCACGCTGCTCCGCGAGCCACATATATATTACTACTTAATAATATATAATCCTGCCCTCGACAAGTGCGAGCGAGTTGCTGGGGAGCACGAGGGCTGGCAGCAGCTTGCGGGACAGCGGGAAGGCGGCGGTGACGGGAGCGGCGGCCCTTGGAATCCACTGGGATAAGGAGTGACTGGCCGGGACGGAGGGAGGAGGCGGGAAGAGCTGAACCCCGGTACTACACGACGGTTATTACACGGATGGAGCGAGCAGTTCTCTAGCCATGAGCCCACAAGGTTATAGTTAGTGACAATCCATACCTGCACACACTGGTCTGCCTGACACACCACGGATACAGAGGGCCGTGCGACGACGTTAATACAGCACGAGGGACACGGGGGCGGCGCGGGAGCCCGCGCGGAGGTGCAGGGCAGGAACGGAGCAGCCTGCGCGCTGCACGGGGCAGGAACGCGGGGCACGCAGCAGCCCCGTGGGCCGTGCGGGAGCCCACGCTGATGCACAGGGCACAACGCAGTGCACGGAGCAGCCCCTTGGGCCACGCTGTCCTGCCCGCAGGCACCGCTCTGCCCAGCGCTCCACGGGCACAAGGAAAAGCACCCGGGAGCTCGTGGCGCGGCCGGCGGCACTGGGTACGGCCGGGGTACGGCCAGCGAATGTCGGGCACCCGGCAGGGCTGCCCAGCGCCGTGTGCGAGCGCGCAGGGCACTTGTGCACAGGGTGCTTTAGCACGTGGAGCTTATGCACAGGGCACCTGTGCATGTGGCACTTGCACTTGGAGCACTTGCGCACAGGGCACTTGTGCACGTAGCACTTGCACGCAGGGCACTTGTGCACAGGGCACTTGCGCACAGGGCACTGGCACGCAGGGCACTTGGACGATGCCACCATCGAGGACGCCCTCCGGGCAGCCGTGTCCCCCGCGCTGGCAGGGCCCCTGGCAGCCCAGCAGCCCTTTGCTCTTGGCCATTACGAGGAACCTCGGCAACGGTTATAGAGTTAGAAAAAAAAATACAACGTACTGAACAAACATTACCTCACGTACAATCAATTTAAACACTTAAATTGATTATAATTTTGCTAAAATATTAACACAAGTACCGTTTGTGCTGCTAAAATGACAGTGTTCCCTCTAAGGAAAATATTGCTACAGTTCCACTGTACCCTGTGTTGCATCTTTGCCTTTTTGTTGGTCTTTTTTCACTCTCTTGCAGCAAGGCCGGCTCCGTAGGAAGGGGCGCTGGTCGGGTACCTGCGGCTCGGCCTGCAAGGCCCGGGGCTACCCAGGGCAAAGGTTTAGTGGCCCCGTCCGGACGCCTTGCAGCCCAGAGGCTTCGGCTCCACAAGATGCAGCGTGTGCCAGGAATGCACCTTTGGGTGCAGCGGGCCGGGCGCGCGAGTCGGGCGCCGCGCTCTGCCCCTGACGGCTCTGTCTGCTGCAACGGGCTGCGGTCGCGAGGACAAAGCCTGCGGATTTGGGGCTGGGCTGCCCGCAGCGCGGGGGCAGTGGCTCTGCTATTGCTTGTCACGAGGTCGGAAGGTGTCCGAGGTTTCCCACAACTTTGCCAATATAAACACGCCGGCAGCCGGGCGGTGCAAGGGGCGCGAGGAGAGGGGGGACACAGACCTGGGGCCAAGCTTCCCATTTCGGCCCATTTCCTTAGTGCTCGGCAGCCGAGAGCTGGAACCGCCGGCGCCGCCGGGAGCAGAGCTGCAGCTGCCGGGAGCTCCCGGTTTGTGCGGGAGCCGCTGGCTCCCAGCGAGGCAGAAGCTCCGCAGCTGCAGCCCCAAACCCGCCCGCTGGCCCCAGCAGGGTTCTCCACTCCCTTCTCACGCTGTTTGCAAACAAGGCCCATGTTTGTGCAGGGCTGAGCGGCCCGGGGTCCTGCCGGGTCTGCTCCGGGCTCCTTGTTCCTTGGGATGCGCTGCACGATCCGGCTGCAATGCAGGACAGGTGCTGCCCGCTCCAACAGGGCTGCTCCCGATGGAAAAGCAGCGGCACGGAGCGCTCCCGGGCTGACCCGCCTTGTGGGTCTGCAGACTGGCCCCGCGGAGCCTGGAGCCCCTGCGTCCCTCGCCCGCGGCCGCTGCCCGAGCGGGGCTCAACGCCGCTATCGACCGCGCGTGGCGGTGCAGCGAGCGGGGCCGGCAGCCAGCGAGGCCGGGGCCCGGGCTGAGCGGCGGGGCCCGGCGCCGCGGGAGCGAGCGGCACCGCTCAGCCCGGCTGCGGCCGCGGGACGGGACGGGACGGGACGGAATGGGACGGGCGCCTTCCTGCCTTGCGCCTTAGAGGGAACACTGCTTCGGGACGGCCCAGGGGAGGCAGACAAGCACCAACACCACGGCACGACGAGCGGGGGCCCGCACGGACTGGCCACACGAGGGGGACGGGGCGGACGCGGCGGCGCCCAGCGCGACGCGCGGCCCTCAGTACGCCGGCACTTGGTAGCCTTTGGGGTTGGCGTCGGCGGGCTCGGAGAAGGGCGGGCTCTGGTAGGTGTCTGTGCTCTCGATGCCGCTGCCCGCGGGGTAGCCGGGGTAGGCGGCGCTGCCGTCGGCCGCGAACTGCTCCGTGGCGAAGAGCGACATGTCCGTGCCCAGGCGGTACCGCTGCAGCGCCTTCAGCACCAGCGCCACCTGAGGGCACGCGGCACGGTTAGGGGGCACCGGCACCGCCCTCCCAACAGCACCCACACTGCCAAAGAGCCCCGAGCTGCGAAGCCAACGAGCGATGCTGAAGAGCGTGAGTGATGCTGAAGAGCATGAGCGATGCTAACGAGACGGTGAGTGATGCTGAAGGTGTGAGCGATGCTCAGCAGTGTGAGTGATGCCAAGGAGCAGATGAGCGATGCTAAGGGACAGGCGAGCGATGCCAAGGATGCAAACCCACCCCATTAGACCTGATCCCTCCTCGAGGCAAGGCCAAAACCTGCCTCATTCCAGGGCCTGGGACCTCCAGGGCTTGGGACGCACATGGGCACCCACAGCCCCAGCTGCTGCCAGGTCACCAAGCATCTTGTCCCCTGCAGCAGAGCAGGTCGGTGCTGCAGAAGCTCCTGCCCCTTGCAGGAGGGCTTCAGTTTGCAGCCTCCAGGTGACCAGGCCAGCCCATTCCCAAGCCAGTTTGCTCAGCTGGTGACCGGGGCACAGGGGAAAGCACCGCAGCCCTGCCCGCTGGGAACCCCCGGCCGGGGCTGGATGCGGCGGGGACCGGCCGAGCCCGGTGGCCGTGTCCCACCGGGAGCAGAGCGAGCGCAGGGACCCCAGCGGATGGGGGAGCAGGCAGGTCTGTGCGGGCAGTGACAGCGCCGGGAGCAGGGGGAGCGGCGCAGGGTGCTGGGCACTCACAGCAGCCCCGCGCCCCTCGGCCCACCGGCTGGTTTCGCTGGCACCGCAGCTTCCCGCCCCGTAGAGGGGGAAGTCTGGAGCTCCCCACACGCCGGGGCTGCAGCAACCACAGCTCTCAGCTCCTTCTGCCGCCGGGAGCTGGCAGGTTTCCTCCGGAGAGCCCCGCGCGGCTGCTTCTCCAAACTGAGCCCCGAGCAGGTTTCGTTCCCCCTTCCACCCTGCTCTGGGCCTGACCCCGGCCCCAGGAGCTGCAAGGGGCTCTGCCATGGGCAGCTGCAGGGTGGCAGTGCCCAGCTGGGCAGCCAGGGCTCGCGCGGTGCCGCAGAGCCCGACCCGGGCTGTGCTCCGGCCGCACGCGGCAGCCCCGGGACGGGAGCTGCCGGCATCGGGTGCTCTGTCCACCGGGAGCTGAACTCACCCAGGTGATGATGGAGAAGAAGGAGAAGGCGATGGCCGCCCGGGCGGCGTCGGCTCCTTGCGAAACCCCTTTGCTCATCGTCGTCCGTTGCCACTGGTTGGCGAGGAAGCAGAAAGCGACAAACCACAGGAAGGACAAGAAGCCTGAAAGAGAGCGGAGCCGCTCAGCGCCGTGCTCGGGTCCCGCACCGGGTGCGCACGTCCCGGGGGACACAGCGCGCTCAGGGGTCCCTTCCCGGGGACGGCAGCGCCCGGGAGCCCCGGGAGCAGCCGCAGCAGCAGCTCCGACCATGTCCCTGCCCGGCCAGGGGAGCAGAGCGACGGTCGGGGACCGCACGGTGACACGAAGGGGACACGGGGGCTCCTGCACCCAGGGGTCTCCCGCAGCACTGGGTGGCACCCCGGGCTGTTCGGGCGCTGAACGATCCCTCTGTTCATGTGTGACCTACAGCCACCGGTTGTGTCCCCTCCGTGCTCGCGGGTGCCACAGCGGGGCTGGCGGACTCCCCATTGGCAGCAGCCTCCTGAGCCTCGAGCCGTGGGCTCTGCCCGGCATCCAAGGGGAGCGGGGCATTTTGGGGGGGGTTGTTGCTACCCAGGAAATGTAAACCTGGACTTTGCCCCTGCCCTGCACCGGTCTCGGCTGGAGGCAGCGCCGCAGGGAAGGAGCCACCAGCAAGAAGCAGCCGGTAATTACAGCTTTGGGCTGCGCCGACAGCAGAGGGCAAACACCAGGAGAGATGTGCCGGAGCCGCGAGCAGCGCCCGGCGCCGGCAGCTGCCGCAGCAGATGGGTGAGGAGCTGCACGGGCGCCCTGCAGAGCGCGGCGGCCCCGGGCACTGCCCGCAACGCGCCGGGCACCCGCAGCCCTTGGCACTAGTGCTTGGCCCAGTGCATCTTGCAGCGCTCCCTCCTCCTGGGCATGCTGCGTCCCTGCTGCATCCCCGCTGTGTCCCCACTGCATCCCCGCTGTGTCCCCACTGCATCCCTGCTGCATCCCCGCTGCATCCCCGCTGCATCCCTGCTGCATTCCTGCTGCATACCTGCGGCATCCCTGCAGCATCCCCGCTGCATCCTCGCTGCATCCCTGCTGCGTTCCCGCTGCATCCCCACTGCATCCCCGCTGTGTTCCCACTGCATCCCTGCTGCATCCC